CGTGTTCCCTCTTCTTTTAGATATTTTAGATATCCGTAGTAGACGTAAAAGAAGCTCGAGAGATTGGAGTATGAAAACATTCACATTCATACCGGAGCTTCGTTCGAACGGATCATGACGACGATAAAAAGGAATGTAAGTTCGATGGTATTATCGATGAATCGAGATAACTTTTTTTTTTGTCTTTTCTTTTTTTTTTTGGTCTTTTTTTTTCTTTTCTTTTCTTTTCTTTTTTTTTTTTTTTTTTTTTTTTTAAGGAACGACGCTGGCAATGGATCATCATGGAGATTGGAAAAGAAATAGTGTTAGATAAATATATGAGATATATGTATATATGAGTGATAGTTAAAGGGATTAAATAACGGGCAATTTATTAATTTTATTAGATAACATTATATCATGAATCTATTGATAATGTAATATATGTGTATGTAAATTTTTTTTTCCTTTTTTTTTTCTTTTTCCCCCCTCATATTTATACTTATTTCATGAAAGAGACTTTGGGTAATAATTTTAAAACGACAAGATATATATATATATATATTTTTTTTTTCTTTTATAAAATCCTTTTAAGCTTTAACAAAGAAATTATAACCGGTGCTATTAATAGATTCGGAAATATTCTTCGTAATAAAATTAATGAATCGTTCAATATTTAAGGAGAAGAAGGAAGAGAAGAAGAAGAAGAAGAAGGAAGAGGAGGAGGAGGAGGAGGAGGAGGAGGAGGAGGAGGAGGAGGAGGAGGAGGAGGAGGAGGAGGAGGAGGAGGAGGATAGAGAGATTTAAGAGGAATGGAAATAGAAAGAGATAGGGTTGGTGCAGGTCACACGCTCGCGCACACGTACGTACAAAACATATGTATAAAACTGTTGGGATGTGATTTCACACGGGTCACAACAACGCAGAGTATCATATCTATGTATAAGTCTTTTCGTGTTTGTATTGTTTAAACGTGTATATATATATATATATATATATATATACATACATACATACATATATATATATATGCAATATGTATATATACGATATATAAATATAGCATATGTATATATATATATATATTTATAAGGTACACGTGTCAACGGTCTTGTCGTGAACGTTTCCTTAATGAAATATATATATATATATAGATAGATAGATAGATAGATAGATAGATAGAGAGAGAGAGAGAGAGAGAGAGTAAGAGACGTAAAAAAACTGCACGCAACATCGAGTTCAGGACGGACAAGTTTTATGGCGAACGGACGATCGACTTTTTTCGTAATAATCGCGGGGTAAAGAGAAACGAGAGCTGACGAAAACGGACGAGGACGACGATCACGTACGGTCACGGCGGGTGAACGATTAGTATATATATATATATTGATAATATATCTATATATATATAATAATGTGAGATAGTAAGCGATGACGTCGAAGAACTCACCTCTCGTTGAAAGTCTCCTGACGAGCGTAGTTCTGCAGACTGCCCTCGTCTATTAGAAATTTCATCCTTTCGAAGAAGGATGCAGTTACCGCTGGTGGTTGCTTTCGTAGAAGTATATCGATCGGTTGCGGTGCCGACACGCAAAGCTGACTGCTTCGGCATAAATGGTTCGAGCAGCACTCGGGATCGGCGCAATCGATGAGACCATCTAAAATACGAAAAATCGTCTTTTCATACTTTTTCTTTTCCTCTCTTTCTCTTGCCTTTTCTTTCTTTTTTTTTTTTCTTTTTCGTAATTTTACTTAACAAAATTGTAATCTCTTGAAAACGTGAATTTTATAATTCTATTGAATGTTCATTCGTTCAGTTAGAATTTATAGAACGTTGATGAAGTTTAAATTAAGACGATCTCGTTAAGAATTTGATGACAATTGTAAAACTAATTGTAATACCTTTGTCATTGTCTCGTCCGTCGTTACAATTTTGTTCAAGAGGAACACTGCAATCCTTTCCATCCCAGCCATCGTAACAACGGCACTCCCATTGACCGTAAAAGCTGACTCTGCACTGTCCATGACTTGAACAGGCATTTGGACACGCTTCCATCGTACAATGTATGCCGTTCCAACCGGTGACGCATAAGCATGTGCCGTTCTTACACTGTCCGTGCTCGTTGCATCGTGGATCGCATTGTTTCAGATTGCAAAGTTCTCCGGACCAACCGGGTAAACAATCACAGGCGTTGTCCACGCAATGACCATGAGGACCGCAATCCAAATCGCATAGTTCTGAAAAATGAACGACAGAGAGTAAAGAAAAATCTTTCAAATGTTTTTTCTTTTTTCTTCTTCTTCACTTCTTCTTTTTCTTTTTTCGAAAATTTGTCAAACAATTTTTAATAAAAGGGGATTTAAATAATAATTCACATGAATTGTTTTTACCTTTTGAGCAATCATCACCGGACCACATAGGTTCGCACAAACAAGTTTGAGTTTCGAGATCGAAGTTTCCATGACCGCTGCAATCTGGTAGACACTGCAATGCTTCCTTATCCATCTGACTACAATCCGCGCCCTTCCATCCCTTCTTACAAATACACGTTCCCTCTGCGCAAAAACCGTGACCCGAGCACGTCGGATGTGGACAATCCACCTCCTCGCAGAACTTCCCTTTGTAACCGCGAACGCAATTGCATTTTCCGTTAGTGCAATGCCCGTGACCATTGCAATCTGGTACCTCACACTCATCATGCCTAAGGGAACATTCTTTGCCCTTCCAACCTGGATTACACTGACACTCGCCATTAATATATTCACCTACAAACAAATAAATAAAAATTTAATAAATACACACACATATATAATATTATAATGTATTTATTATTAATTTTGTATAATTCTAAATTATAATATATTATATGTATATATATATATATATATATATATATATATATTATGTATTTAGAAATTGAATATGTATATATATATATAATATACATTATGATTAACAAATTATTGACAATGAAAATAATTTACCTCGTTGACTACAAAGAACAGGGCATACACTTTCGCTGCAATCTTCACCACCGAAACCAGGATTGCATTGACAATGACCAAGAAGACATTCTCCCTTTCCGCTGCAACCATTCGGACAATTATGGGTCATGTCCTCGGCAATAACCGCAATAAAGGAAACTTCTTGAGGATCGCCATCGTCGTTATAAAGTGAAAGAAACCAATGACCGGGTTCCATATAATGAGTTACTTCTTTCTTTATAGACGGCTATAGAGAATAATTAAGAACGATTATAGTTGTTTTACACCTAAAATGTTGCGATACATTTTTCATACTACACACACACATATATATATATATATATATATATATATATATATATATGTATACATGATGTTTAACATGGCACGTAACTTCATCGTTCCAATTTTTCTTTTCAAACTTTTCGGGTCACGTTTAACACGCTAAGGTTTGAAGGAACGATAAAGAAAAGGAAAATAAAGAAGATATCAAACAAAACGAAGACTGCGACAAGGATTATTTTTACGTGTTCCTTTGGCGAAAGACGAAGTTGTTATAAACTCAGGAAAGAAAGAAATAAACTAAAAAAGTGAGTGTAAGAAAGAGAGAGAGAAAGAGAGAGAGAGAGAGAGAGAGAGAGAGAGAGAGAGAGAGAAGGATAAGATAAATAAATAAAAGCAAAGAAAAGAAAAGAAAAGAAAAAAAAAAAAGAAAGAAACGGGGCATCGGCACATACAATAACACTAACATGGGACGCCCTGGTGGTCCGAGCTTTGAATCCGCTGAGCACTTCCAGGAGGTCGTATTGCGTGTGTGTTGGTAAAGCGTTTCTTCTTGCGTATACACCGATGCTCGCACCACGTGGTATGTTGTAGTCAAAACGAACGTAGGCGGCTTCCGACTGATAGAATTGCATATTCCAATAGCTGTAAGGTTGAATCTCTTTGCTGAGCTTTTGTCCAAGGCCAACCTGAGCGAAGGTCGTACCATCGGGCGGGAATGATCTAGCGGGGAAGGTTCGTGCGCCTGCGAATGATAAATAAAAAAATTAGACGTGCGATCGACTTAAATGTGTACGATTGTTTAACCCTCTGAGCGCTGAATACTTCTGGCATAAGCAATCAGCATGGACGGTACGCGCTTAGCGATTTCGATCGCTAAAGGACGGAATAATTTTCTTTTTTTATATTTTTTTTTTTTTTGCCAATGCGAACTCGATTGAATAAATTAAGGTGCAACAATTATTTAAATAATGCAAGAATTAATTAATTATTTTATTTGATACATTAAAATATAAATCATATCTTTGAACATGAAATTATCTGAAACGTGCGAGAGATCGAAACAATTGTTAAACGCATATATGCGTCCATAGTCCACAGTGATCTATTTCGCTAAACGCATGTATATGTGTCCATAGCGCTCAAAGTTTTAACGATTTTGATTTTTCGTCGTTCGACGTAAAATCGATTTCGTTTGATTCGTCGAAGCGTATAATCGTTTTTAAAACAGAAGCTTAGGCTTCGGATGCTATGCGATTTAGCGATTTAATTTGTGTGTCTTCCTTAACGATAACTCACTCGTTCGATTATCAATCACTTGTAAAACATTGAAGTGTCGGATTGTTAATTAAGTGATTAATTTCTTTTTTTTTTTTTTTTATATACGTTGATACTTTAACCTAGAAATTATTTATTACAATTCTATGTTATTAAAGAAAAATACTTTAATCGATTCTACTATTAATAATAATTATGACGAATAATACTGAGATACAAATCATAGTATACTATTATATTAATTAAGGATTATTAAATAAAGGATAATAATTATATATTAAATTAATATTGTATTATGTTCTACGTAAAATCTTACAAAAAACCATCCACAACAATCACGTAAAAGCATATAGATAGTTAACGCCACAGCCAACTGAAACTAATTCAATGCTTAAAAACAAACAAATACATGTGTGTTGCTACTAAAAGTGTCGAGGGCAAGCAAAGAAGCCAGCATTAGCGATAGAAAGGAAGAAAAAAACAAAAAAAAACAAAAAAAAAAACAAAAAAAAAAAACAAAAATAGTGAAGTATAAAATACAGTGTGAAAGAGAGAGAAAAAAAGATAGGCAGATAGAGAGAAATAGAGATAGAGATAGAGATAGATATAGAGATAGAGAAAGAGAGAGAAACAGAAATAAGAAACATTCGTAAGGAAGAAAGAAAGAAGTAAACGGGGCCTCACCTTCAAGAATCAATATAATAGGCTCTGGGGGTAGTGAAGTGGTTGCAGAACACGACATAACATCGTTGGTAGTTGTTTCCGGTTCGGAAGTCGAGGAGGACTCGGTCGTTGGTTCGTTGTCCTCCTCGGTATAATAATCTTCTAAGGTTAACGTGGTATTGCCCTTTAACAAATCCTCGAAACTGATTTGGTTTACTTTCTTTTCATTTTTTATTTCAAGTTCATCGGTAGGTTTGACTTCGATCTCTGGAATTGACGAAAGAACGTTGAAGGAACTCGAATTGTTATCCAAGAGTTCATTTTGATCGAAATCCTGTTCGAATATGAGATTAGTTTCGTCGATCGCTGAAAAATTGTCCCATTCGTCAGACGATGAGTCCATGCACGGGCAAGAGCATTCACATTCGCCACCACCCCAAATTGGGGGTGGCGGTGAAGCGGGTGGTTGAGGAGGAGGTGGAAGACGAACTACGTCGATCGGTTCGACGTTAACGATATTCTCGGTTATCTTTCGATTATCGTTTTGAGAATAGGATGATGTTTTTATATCATGAAAATTCGTTGAATGATCGTCTGGCTCGATTTCCATTGGTACAGAGACCGAAAGCACGTAGAGAGGCCGAGAAGCACCCGATGATGAGTCTCCGTTCGCGATCGTCACGTTTACGAGTACTCGATGAGTCGATGATGTTGATGACGAGGACGACGATGACGAGGACGACGATGACGACGATGACGACGATGATCGGTGATCGCGTTCGATCGGTACTTCGATGATCTGCACGTGCTGAACTATCGGAAGCTTTGTATCCCCATTGAAAGCATTGTTTGACGAATCATGCGATTTTTCATGCGTATTATTATCTTCCTTGTTCTCCAATTGCCCGTTACTTTTAATAGGTTTCTTTATTATTGGTTCGTTCCTTTCGGAATATTCCTCTTTATAAAATTGTTCTTCAAATTTTCGTAAAAATTCTTCGTCGCTACCTTCTCTCATTACGACCCTAAGATCATCTTTTCGTTGATCCAATTGATGATTTTTACTAAGTGTTTTTACTTCGTTATTAAGTATGTCGGATCTCTTATCAGTATTATCGATTGGTTTGTAAACCGTCCTTGTCTTTGTCGTTGTACCCGATTTCGTGCCGTGATTTAATTTCACAATCTCAACCTCATCCTGTCCGTAGCTGTAAATCGGTATGGGATAATCTCGTTGAAGTTCTTCAGATTTCTCGGAGGTCTTTATCGGTCCAGAAGGATCTTCGACGGACTCAGACGAAGAATCCTCTCGAGACAATTCTCGTGTCTCCTTTACAACGGTGGAAGTGTCAGGACAATGTTCTCGATCTTGAGATTCGTTCGCAGTCTCTTCTACAATTTTCATAGACAACTTGTCCCCACGAATCGAACTATTTTCCCGTTTGTCAATTCGATCGATCTTAGTGATCTCATTTCTTTTTTCCGTCGTACTCGTCTCGTTCCAATTAAAATCGTTGGCTCGAATCGAGGACGTTTCTCTGCTCTCGTTTTCCTTCTGAATATCTATAGTAGTAGATAACTCTAGCGAAGAAGCACTACTACTTTCTATACCGGCGTATTCTTCAAGATCGTTCACCATATCCGTGCTAAAGCTATTTACTTTAGACGATCGATTTCCTGGGTTAGGAACGGTGTCAGGAAGTATAGCATTACTACCAATACTCGAATCTACATTATCCGTTAGTTCTACAGTACTGGTTTCTAACATTGGTTGTATTATACTATCATCTATCATATTACGATTTTCAATGTTCATTGAAACTCCATCGTCGTAAGGTATTTCATCTACTACTATCGGTGGAACTCCTGGGAAATCTTTGTTGCTTTCAATGGAAGACATCAAAGTGTTCGCCTCGTATTTTCGACGATTCGTTGTATGAAAAGTGGATGATGGTTCTTCGGTAATAAAGTCCTTTGTTTCGTACAATTCACGAGAAGATGATTTCTCGGATGAAGAAGAGAAATAGCGAATCGAATGATAAGGATCAGAGCTAGTAGAGAACGAAGACCCAGAAACAGATACGATAGCGGTAGTTGTAGTATCATAGTGCGAGTAGTTAGCAGCGATAATGGAAGGGTCAGAAACAGGAACGACTAGCGGCATTGTTCCCAAGGGATAAGTTCTCGTTGATTCTTCCATTCTTTCAAGCTTTTCCGTGTCCTCGGGAAACGAAGCCGCTTCGTCGGATTTTCCATTTAGATTAGGCACTTTCGTATGTTCCGTGTCATGCATAAAGACAACCTTACCCTGATTATTCTCATGCAACGTATTCGATGTGGTAGATGTTACCGTATATCCCTTGACTTCTCCAAGGAAATTTTGGGATTTGGTGATTGAGGAAATGTCGTGCGATAATACAGTTGCATGCCGGTTAAATATGACGTCTCTACGTTTACGAGAATACACAGAACGATCTAGCATGCTAGCCCAGGGATTGATATTACCTCCTGCCGGTGTTAGCTGTCGCGTTCTACCACTGCCCGATTGTGATGACGTCGTTGCCGTCGATGTGGACGTTTTGTTCGACTCGCTCGTCGGTGATTTTACGTCTGTGTTGTCACCGATTAATACTGTGCACGCTTTCGTACCTTGATAAGACCAGGTTACTATGTTCGAAGCTGAAAAAAAAAGAAGAAAAAATTAAAATTATATATATATATATATTGATTTTATTTTTCATGATTTCTTTTGAATTAATTTATTACATGTAATATAATGTCATCGAAAAGAATTGATTCTATTGGTAACTAACCTGCGACATAGGTCAATGCTGCCGTTAAGCAAAGGGAGAGCATAATTACAACTATCGCAATTAGTTTCCAGCTGCACCAATCGATTCCTTTGCGGAAATGGCAGCGAATGCTTTGTCTCCTCATCGGGATCATCGATGGGGCATGACCGTAAGGTAAAGGTACTCTGAAATCAAAGAAATAAAATCGATATTTTTATTACATTAGATCTATCATCATCGATTCTATAAAAATAATAATCATTGTTAATGAATATTTCTATATATAAATAATATCTAAATACAAATGATATATAGATAATATAAATAATATGTAATTAATTAAAAATCGATGTAAACTTTATTGATAACATTGTTAACGAGTATATATCACAAAGAGAAACTCTTTTCAGTTCTTATGATAGATAATACGTACAATATATATATATATATTAGGTGGATCGGAAAGTAATGTCGCTTACTTAAATTAAATTCAAACGAATAAATTTTTAACAAGTTTTTATTTTTAATCACGATCAAATATCGACATGCGCAGAAACGACATTACTTTCCGGTCCACCTAATACATAAACGTGTTATTAGAAAACAAATTATTTTATGACAATAATAATAATAATAATAATAATAATAATAATAATAATAATAATAATAATAATAAAAATTGATTTATTAATTTAAATACTATTGTACATTTAAATGTTTACTTAAATTTCCTTAAAAACCACGATTCGTACCTAACATTCTTTTCGAAAATAACTTAAATTAACCATAACTTCTTTCGATTCGATGCTCATAAAGATAACACACAAGGACAGTTTTAAGATCTGACATTTTGCGTTTATTGGAGACTTTTTCGAGGGTGCTTTGACTCCCTTATCTCTCTCTCTCTCTTTCACACACACACACACACACACACACACACTTGTGTACTCTCTTTGCCAACAACTCCATTACGAAATTGTGCAGTTTCTCGATAGACTTGACGTAATTGGTGGCATACCGTATTATTAACATTGAGTATGTTCTCGAAATATATTTCCATCTACTCGTCGTGATGCTTTAACGAAAGAGCAACAAGAAGAAAGAGTGGAGGGAGGGGGCAGGGGAAGAGAAAGAGAAAGAGAGAGAGAGAGAGAGAGAGAGAGAGAGAGAGAGAGAAAGAGAGAATGTTCTCTTTCCTATCCATTCGTCTTCACTCGTCTTTCGAGCGCGTATTTATCTCGAAGGAGCCCGTTACCACGATCCCGTGTAACTCACAAATGCTTAATGAAAATATTTAAAGGCAGGTGCTCGCTTTCCCAGGTTCGCGAGGAACTCTGTTTGTTTTCGTTGCAACCTTCTATAATGGAAAACGAAAAGCAGATGCCGGAGCACCTTCTTCGAGAACGTGCATCTTTTCCCTTTCCTTTACTTTCCTTTACTTTCTTTCTTTCTTTCTTTCTTTCTTTCTTTCTGTATGTGTCTTCCTCTTTCTCTCTGTCTCTCTCTCTCTCTCTCTCTCTCTCTCTCTCTCTCTCTCTCTCTCTCTCTCTATCTTTCTCTCTCTCTCTCTCTCTCTCTTTATCTTTAAGACAATATAAATTATCTTTCATGGAAGGACGACTCATTTTAAATCGTTTTCATTTTACCAAAGAAATAAACGAAACAATGAGAAAGATATTAAAGAGCATAGGAATAACTTTTTCTCGATATTTCTTTTTTTTTTTTTTTTTGCAAAAATTTATCTTTCCTTCCCCCATTGTTAAAAAGTGAAAAAAAAAAAAGAGAAAAAAAAAGAAAAGAAAATAAAAAGAAAAAGATCGATCATCCTTTAAAATCGACAGATATATCCAAATGGGATTTTTCCATTGCTTACGAACGGTACCGTACATTGTTATTTCCAATTTTTCAATCTGAGATCTGTCTTCTTCTTTTTCTTCTTTCTCTTCAACTTCACGACTATTTTGCGAATTTCGTTACAGCTCGTAGACATTCAGTCCAGTTCGAGGATCCGTGGCGAACCTTTCGTTGTAAAGGAAAACGAAAGGATCGTTTGATTTTTCACGGATTCGAAAGAGGGTTCTCTTCCTCCCTACTCCCCCCACCCCCCCCATCTCTCTCTCTCTCTCTCTCTCACTTTCTCTTTCTATCTTTCTATTTATCCTCTTATATTTCAAGTATACGACATATGACACACGATCAACGACGACTACGACGGCTACGACGACTAAGATGACTACGGACTAAAACGAGATGAACGTGTATTCTCGTTCAAACATCAACTCATTGTGCTTGTCGCTTGAATGGATGATTCACGAGGGTGTCAAAGCTCGCTTCTGTGCTGCGAGGAAGGGGAAGAAAAAAAGAAAAAGAAAAAGGAAAAGATGAGAAGAAAAACCGATGCTATTTCGTATAGTTACGGCTCATTCGTTCCGATCCTTTTATCTTGCATGCTTTTTGAATCTTTTTTTTTTTTTCTTTCTTTTTAGTCTACGAAATTTTTTCGCTACTTTTTTTTCTTCTTATCCCTCCCCCCTCCCCCTCCCCTCCCCCTCTACTCTTCACTCACACTCCACTCCTCTCTATTCTTAACTTCTTTTATTTTGAAAATCGGTACGAAATCTTTTCTGGAATTGTTTTTTATCTTTTGTAATATTTGTATGATCGATTTTAATTCTTCTTTATCAAATTTTTCTATTTGTCTTTGAGTGTGATTTTAATATGTCCTAGCATTGAAAAATTTCTTGAAAAATTTCTCGCTACAATTCTAATGTCGAGCTCAGATTTGACATTTTTAAAATACAATTTTTAAAATAATTTAAAAGCGTTTAAATCTGATCCTTTTTTCTTCTTTTTTTTTTTTTATTCAAATACTTGCAGTATAAATTTTATCTATTATGTACATTAATTAAGAAGTTGTTGGTAGATAAAAAAAAAAAAAAGAAAAATTCAGGAACTAAAAGAATTAAAGTATTTAAGAAAATATTAAGATCACAGTTCTTACCTGTCCATGTTGTTTTGCAGCTCGACTTTTATTGGACTATTCCCTGTCGATTGATTCTTATTGTTGTATTCATTCTTCGGTATCTCTGAAAGAAAAAAAGAAAAAAAGGAAAAGTAAAATAAATGATCCATTAATAGGACATAATAAGATTACCATAATCATCATCTAAATAATCTAATCATTATTTAGATAATTTTCTAAAATGATAATTTTCTAAAAATACAGATAGAGAGAGAAGGAGAGAGAGAGAGAGAGAGAGAGAGAGAAAAGTTTTCTGTATATTATTTATAAAAAAAAAAAAAAAAAAAAAAAAAAAAAAAAATATATATATACATCTATATCGAGTATCTTGTTAAATCCGGATAATGATTTATCGTGATTGAAAGCTGGATCGTTAAGTGCAACTTGCTAATTTCTTCTTCTCAACCGGATAAATAAGTCTTTATGATGCCAGACGCGTTACCTCGTTTCTTTCGTTCTAAGAAAACACAACACGGTTTATAAGTAGACATCGTATAATGTAGGAGAAAGAAAGATGAAGAAGCGAGAAAGTTAGAAGGAGTCGGTCATTGAATCGATAAGTACATGTGATTCATCGTGGGTTTTGGCTTGAATTTCAAGGGATGATGACGACACGACGACGACGATGACAACGACGACGACGACGACGACAACGACAACGACAACGACAACGACAACGATGACGATGACGACGACATCATAGGGTGTACGAACAGAGAGAAAGAAAGAAAGAAAGAAAGAAAGAAGAGAAAAGAAAGCACTTGCTAAGAATATCGTAACATAAAGATTTTATCGTATATTACAATGAGTATGCAGTAAAATGCCAAAATGAAAGATTTGATTTTACTTTAAGAAATGACATTTTATTGTCTCCTGATTAGATGAAGAAAATTATGAGACGCCATTATACGAGAAGAAGAAGAAGAAGAAGAAGAAGAAGAAGGAGTTAGAAAAATGTCGGTAACAAGGATACGAAGAAATTAAAATTCCGATCAGACGTCTTCACCCTTCCCCCTTCCACCCTGCCCTCCCTGTCTCTCTCTCTGTTTCTCTCGTGTAATCACTTCGACGTTGATTTTTATTACCTCGGAATAATTCTTTTTCTTTCTCTTTCTTTTTATGATTTTTCTTTCTTTTTTCTTTTTTTTTTTTTTTTTTTTGAAGATCATAGTAATCGAAGGAAACGAGAATTTTTATTTCGCGAATTGAAGAAAAATTAAGACTTCGTTTTTAAAATTATTTAAACAATCAGATTGTAAGGGATTGAATAAATTCGTATTCTCACAGGTTGGAAAATCAAATTCTCTTTTTGTTTGTTTGTTTGTTTGTTTTTCTTTTTTCTTTCCCCTCCTTACTCTTTCTCTTTCTCTCACGGTACAAAATATCCTTTCCCCTTAAATTACTCGACGATGGATATATCTTCCCTTTCCTCTCTCTTTATTCTCCCTCACTCTTTCCTGCTCTCCCCTTCCTCGAATGATTAATTACCCGCCGACTTCGTTAATACTTAAACGAAGTAACGGCCTCAAATTGATTACAGTTTAATGTTTCCCAGATTAACACACGGCTTTTATGCGGCAGTGAAGCTGCGTTGTTGCACCTTTCGTGATTGTTTCTTTTCTTCTTTTTTCTTTTTTCTTTTTTTTTTTCTTTCTCTCTTTCTTTCTTTATTCTTATTTTTCCTATCAATTTTAACGAGATAAGCGGTTTGGATCTTTAAAACAAAAGGATAACCATTAAAATTCGATATCTCCTTTTACCTCGTTATCTTTTCAATAATTAATCTTATTATTTAATTAACGAAAAAAAGAAAATGCGAATTTAAAACTCACCTTCAACGTATTTACGATATCACATTATATACGCATAGTTACATAGTATGTTTATTTACAAATTTATTTATTTATTTTTTTTTTTTTTTTTTTTTTTTTTTTTTTTTTTTTTTTATGAATATTTATTATTAAGATTTTTGGAATCTGAGTGTACCATCATTATTATTCGAAATTTCGCGTTAATTAGAAACATTTTAATAGGAACGTTCGAAAACGTACGATTAAATTATTATCGAAAATATAAATTAGAAAAGTTTGCCTCCCTACTAATTCCCTGTTTTTTTTTTCTTTTTTCCTTCTTTTTCTTTTCTTTTTGCAAAAAAAGAAAAAAGTAACGAAAGAAGGAAGCAAAAGAAAAAACCTTCCTTATAGTCATCGCTATAGTCTATGACGCGTACACGCGTTGTTCTCTAAATGCGGGCGTGGGAAGTAAAGGGTCCCATATCCTGTCTCCCCCCTTCCCCCTCAAAGCCCCCAATCTCCCCGCCGTCCCGTTGTTGCTCTAATTGTAGGTGTCGAGGAGTATGCGGACCCAAACCGGGTCTAGTGATTATGGCGTTTAGTCAGATATCCCTGATTATAGCGATTTCCAAGCATAACCCATAAAAAGAAGATCTCATTCTTCCTCTCTCTCTCTCTCTCTCTCTCTCTCTCTCTCTCTCTCTCTGTCTCTATTTGATTCACTTTATTTCGTTCGGTTCTCTCTTTTCATTCGTCGAACGTTTAGACAGGCGCTACGAAATCGAATTAAAGAGAACACACAAAAAATATCGTATGCTTTATTATACAAAACCTTTTTTTCTTTTTTTCTTTTTTTTTTTTTTTTTTTCAATGATTTATGGCATGACTCGAACCTACCTGAACGACAGATAACACACACACACTCTCTCTCTCTCTCTCTCTTTTTCTCTCTTATTAGCTTTCTCAGAAGAGAATTGCGAGATTATTGCGATTTTTTAATTATAACCTTTTTCTTCCACGAAAATATCAACTTCGATATTCGCACGCATATAATTCTAAGAAATACCATACAAGTCCCATAGAAGGAAAGAATTACTATATATGGTAAAAAAAAAAAAAAAAGAACGATCGTGATACGTGTATCAATTTATTTTTAGTAAGATTTAGAGAGAACTATTAAACGATAGATTTATCGATGGCTTTTATGTCAACATTTAACAATAATAAAAAGCAACCAGGATAAAAGAAAGAGATTCCATATAATGACAATGATGACGATAATAATAATAATAATAATAATAATAATAATAATAGTAATAATAATATCATCGAATCGATGTGAACAAATGTATGTGGTGGGAAGGATAAAAAGGTGGAGTCAACTGGAACCATATAAGGATCTCAAGTATTATACCAAAAGGTCATAAGCGTTGGACAGTGTCATAACCTTGAGTCAATAAGACGTGAAGATCATAAATCAAGTCTCGTGAAACAGCTTTCGATGTTCCATCTCGTTTGTCTCCGTCTTGAGAAAGGGCCACCATTCGGGAGAGAAGGGGGAGGGGAGGGTGAGGGGCGGGGGCGGGGGCGGGGTTCTCTCCCTTCATCGACGACAACAGACGTCTTTGAAGGTATATAACATAGGTTTTTCGAAAAACGGATGATAATAATGGACATGGCAAAATGGATCCTGGCGCCTGAGATACCAGATTCGATCGTAAACTTTTAAATCTTTATTCAACGAAGACAAGAAGACGTAGAAGACGTAGAAGAAGAGGAAGAGGAAGAGGAAGAAAGAATTAAGAGGAGAGAGTCACGTCACTGAGAAGATCCCCAGGTAGTACTTGTACCTTTTCAGATCAAAGTTCAAGGAAACGAAAAGGAACCGTTTTCTATTTCGATACCCCTATACACAACAACATTTTAAAGAACATCCCTCGATGTCGCTCGCCACGAGACCATCCCTTCTTTCTTTCTCTTTTCTTTTTTTTTTTCTTTTTTTTCTTTTTTTTCTCTTTTTTTTTTTTTTGAGATTTTTTTTTCTTTCTTTCCTTTTCTCTTCTTTTCTTTTCTTTCGAGAGTGCATTCATTGACTCTGCTCGAGTGTACCTTGAAACTGATTCGCCACAAGTAACTCTCACGTTAACGATACTTGTTCGTCTTCTTGCTTGTCAAATCATATTGTCTCGTTTTATATCTTTAAGAATAATACGAACTAATATTTTTTTTTTTTTTTTCTAAGAAGAAGAGGAAAAAGAATATTATTAAAAAAGAGAAATATTTACTATTTATCTATTATTGGTACTCATTGATGTCGAATAAAAGAAAATATTGATTTGTTCTTTAAAAGATAAAAAGAGAAATAATAAAGAAAGAGAGAAAGGGAAAAAAAAGAGAGAGAGAGAGAGAGAGAGAGAGAGAGAGAATAAGATCGTTGTCGGTATTTCGACAAACAAGCGAGTTAGAAAAGTTTAAGAGAGAATTTCGAAGAGTTTTCAGGTAATTTCGAGACCTTCTTAGAGGTCTTTAAAGGTTCTACTTCGTCGATAAGATAGGAAGCAGCAAACTAGAGCGAGAGAAAGAGAGGGGATGATAAGTGTGAGAAGAGAGAGAGAGAGAGAGAAAAGGGAGAGTTGATAGTTCACAGAATTTATCGGCTACTATATACTATTGCTTTCTCTCTCTCTCCCCTACCCCCTCTCTCTTATCTTTTATTCGGTTTACTTTTAGCCAGTTACAACCGATTACGACCTATACCCTCGTCAAAGACGTCATCTATCCCCTCCCTATTCTCTATTTATCTCACTTGCACCTCCATTAACTAATCGTATCGTCGGCATCTATACAACAACGATTGACATTATCATACTATGAAAAACGGTGTTTAAATCTTACGTATTACCATTTTCAAACTGTTCCAAGAAGTATTTGTGCTCTTTTTCGATCTTGGCTCGTCAAATATTAGACTCGTTTACTTTATCCTTCTTCCCCTCTTTCTTCTCCTTCTCTCTCTCTCTCTCTCTCTCTCTCTCTCTCTCTCTCTCTCTCTCTCTCTTATTTTCTCGAGTCAGAAGTCTTTAAATGTTTGACTTTCGATGGGAAAATCGAAGTTAACTTATAGATGTACTCATATATACTTTTCGTAAAGTCCAAGGAAAGCCTGGTGAGAGTTACTTTTGATCTTTGAGAATCGTTTCTCGAACTTATTATATCGCAGACGAGATACGCGTTTACTCGTGTAAAGTACGAAAAACAACTTTGCGACTCGTTTTAAGTCTATATTTTAAAGTAATCCTTCTATTTCATGCAACAACCAAAAATTCATATACAACTCTTATCTTTTCTCTTCGTATCTTTGATTTCTTTGGTCACATTTATACCTTTTAAATTTTCTTTAAAGGATAACAGTTTCAGAAGATATATATATATATGTATGTATGTATGTATGTCGGATGATAATTTAATGACGTTATATACGTTAGAAATGTTCGTTCGAGTTTAACACGTTCCGTGCCAAGCCATTTTTGCCTGCCTTGTCGTTCAGGCCATTTGTTATTTTGATTAAAGAAAAAAATGACTGCGTGTACCATCCGGTGGTACACGTGGCCTCGAAGATCAAGATATATTGATAATATTGTGTTGTTGAATAATTCGTTGTTAACTCTTTATGGGCCCGTATAACTTTCAGGTTACATTTTAATTTATCGAGATTTTACCAAATAATTATAGCTTTTTTCATGAAATGGCGCATAAAGAAAAATTGCAATTAATTTAAAACAAAAATTCGATCCATAGAGGATTAAGACGTTCCGTGTCAAGCCATTTTTGTCTGACTTGTCGTTCAGGCCATTTGTTATTTTGACTAAAGAAAAAAATGACTGCGTGTACCACCCGGTGGTACACGTGCCCCCCTGAAGATCAAGTTTAACGTGTACCACCGGTAGTACACATGGCACGGAATTTAAAAGATAAAAAAAAAATAGATAAATAGAGAGATAGTGATAGATAGAGAGAGAGAGAGAAAGAGAGAGAGAGAGAGATACATTTATACGATTAGCTTGACGATTAGAGCAAATTATCGTACATAATATATATATATATATATACGTCAGAATCAGAGAAAGATAGATAATATTAGATTGGAAACTATGAAACGGGGGTTTTTGTTTAGTTATTTACTTTCATTCAATGCCCGTTTCATAGTTTCCAACCTAATATAATGAAATAAAAAAAAAAAAAAAAAAAAAAAGAAAAAAAAGAGAGAGGATAAGATCAGAAAGAGAAAGAATGAAATATAAAAAGAAGAAGGAGAATGAAACGAGAGATCAAAAGATAAAATCGTTTCTCACGTCTTCGATCTTTCTCTTTCTTTCTCTCTCTCTCTCTCTCCCTCTCTCTCCCTCTCTCTCTCTCTCTCTCTCTCTCTCTTTTTCTTTCTCTTCTGGCCCTTTCCCCGTTCTTCTTCATCTTCCAATCGATAAATCAGACTTAACGAAGGCAAGACATACGAGCAAGAGACTCACTTGGTATATTGTAGAAGTTACCGGATGGGGTGCGTACGAGACAGGATGGCTCGAGATCGGGATCGCGTTCGTGATCGCTTGCTGCGTGACTTCCTGGCAGTCTTCCGTTAAGACGGCTCATTGTAGGATTACGGGGTGGCACATCGGGCGGGCCCCGTGGTGCCGAATTGTCCAATAAACACCCTGCAACAACAATGAAAAAAAAAAAAAAAAAAAAAAAAAAAAAAAAAAAAAAATAGTGTGCTTTTAGATCAAATAATGAACGACGTATATGGAATCAAACAAAAAAAGAGAGAAAGAGAAAGAGAGATAGATAGATAGAGATAGAGAGATAGAGAGAAAGAGAGAGAGAGAGAGAGAGAAATTCATTGAAAAAAAATAAAAAATAAAAAAAGAAGAGTCGAGAAAAACCAGGTCGTTTTTAAATATTAATTCAGTTCTTTGTTACGTACTATTGCGATCTTTGTTGAAAAAAGAGAATGAGAGGAAAAAAGAGAAAAAGAAAAAAAGAGAGAGAGAGAGAGAAAGAGAGAGAGAGAGAGAGAGATCGGCCTTCTTTAAGACTTGACACAATGGTCTCTAAGGTAATCCTGGACAGGTGGGCCAAGTCGCGTTCGTATAGGGGAAGGGAAAGAAGGGGTTGAGCCGATCTCCCGATTAGACACGCCTCGTATGTGGAGAAACGTCGAAGAGAAACCTTCTTCGAGTGGTTTGCTCTCTCTCTCTCTCTTTCTCTCTCTCTCTCTCTCCCTCTCTGTCTGTCTCTTTTTCCTCTTGGATATATGCATATATGGTTACATTATTACTATCATTCTTTCTTTCTTTTTTTTTTCTCTCCTTTTTCGTTTGTTTTTTACTTTCGTTTTTCTTTTCTTCTTTTTCACCGATTTCGACGATTTCGACGTTCGCGCATTTAAATATATCCGTTTAAATGCCCTTCCTCCCTTTTCCATTGATTTTACCTTAAGCCGGATCTTCGATACACGTTGGACTTATTTAAACGTTCGCATCAATTTCTTTGTAAAATAATTTAATTCTCTTATATTTACAATTTAAATATATTATTTGAAATTTAATTTTAATTAATTATATTTCAATCAATCTTTCGTTTTATATTTTTAAATTAAAGCAGTTGTGACGAGAAAAAGGAATATATATATATATATATATATATATATATATATATAAAATTACACAAATATACACACGCATACACACACACGCACATACTATATATATAAAATTGTTGGAGAAAAATTTATGGTGATACGTTCTCAGTAGTACGACTCGTTCACATACCCAAAGAAACTAAATTAGGATCGTTAAAGTATCATCAATGCATTTTTCCCGATAGTACGACTAATCTCAAAGGATTAGTTCACCCTTCTAATCATTGTATTTGATTTTCTTCGGGATCAAGGATTGTATTGCAAAGAAACTTAAAGAAAAAAAGAAAAAAAAAAAAAAGAAAAGGAACGAACGAAAAAAGGGATGACGAAAGAGAAAGAGAGAGAGAGAGAGAGAGAGAGAGAGAGAGGGAAAGAGGAAAAGGGGTGACGAGAGTGAGTGAGAGAGAGGGGGGGAAGGGAGAGGAAAAGGTTTTCGATAGGAAATTCGAGCAGTTTCTTCTACGACGAGTATGAGCCAGTGAAGCGGATCCTTTCGTATCTTTTTTTTCCCCCGTTCGTTTTATAACGAACTGCCCTTCTTTCTTAAGGGAAGACATTACGTGATAAAGGGCGTAACAGGAGGTGATCTGAGAAAGAGACAGCAAGAGAGAAAGAAAGAGAGAGAGAGAGAGAGAGAGAGAGAGAGAGAAGAATGAAAGAAACGAACGAAAAAGTAGAAGTAGAAAAGATGAAGAAGAGTGGGCGTACGAATGGGTATGAAAAGAAAGGAAGAGACGAAAGAAAAGAATAAAGCGGAAGAAGAAGAAGAAGAAGAAGAAGAAGAAGAAGAAGAAGGAGAAGGAGAAGGAAAAGGAAAAAAAAGTTTCGCCTTCTCTTGCTACGACAAAAGACTTTCTCAATCTCGTCTAATCGTTCTCGTTTCTTTTCTTCCCCTTTGGTCCTTCGTATCCACCCCCTCCTCCTCCTCCTCCTACTTCTTCTCCTCGAATTACCCCCATCTTTTTCTACCCCTTGATCCTTCTTTCAATTCGAATCTGTGCTTCGTTTGCGCGAATATTTCGAGACCGACGAGCTGATTGATAAATAGAAAGAGTGAGAGAGAAAGGGAGAGAGAGAGAGAGAGAGAGAGAGAGAGAGAGAGAGAGAGAGAGAGAGAGAGAGAGAGAAGCAAAAGCAATATTACTCGACCCTTTTACTTTTGAACTTTCATCAATTTTTGATTGTACTGTACAGTATGATTAGAATCTACATGATTCGTCTTTTTTTATTTCTCTTTTTTTTTTTTTCTTTTTTCATTTCATTCCAAAACTAGAAACGTCGGCCAATGATAATTTCGATCTAATTGTTGGGCTATAATTTTTTTTTTGTTTTTTTTTTTTTTTCTCTATATCTTTAGTTACTTTCACACGTCCTCTTCGATTTAAGAAAAAGAATAATGAGAAGGTAGATTGGTGTCACTCGGGCCAATTTCGATTCTTCCTACAATTCAACGATTTTTCCGACAGGATTCTCTCTAAGGAGAAATTTTCTCGTTCCCATTGTCCCAAGCAATGTTTACCGCTACACGTAAAATGGAAGAGAAAACTGTTCGTAGGTTTTCAAACGTGGAAGGAAAAGAATCGAAATAGAACGTACATGGCTATCGCGCCATTCGAATCTTATTCGCCTGGCCTCTTCAAAGTTATCGACTTAACTCGTAGAGGGTGTAAAACGAAGAAACAAACAGACAAACAGATAGAGAGAGAGAGAGAGAGAGAGAGAGAGAGAGAGAGAGACAGAGAGAGAGAGAGAGAGATCGTGGAAGATTGGAAGATTATCGCGAAAAGTTACTCACTTGCTTGACCTCTCGCGAACGGAAGTAAAAGAGGATGACCTTCCTTTCAAAATCGAAAGACATCATCCCTATGCTACTACCATTCCCTTTATCTTGAAACATTCTACAGTACTCGATCGAAGATAATCGCAAATGGACATGAACTCTGTCCTTTTCGATCTTTTTTCTTTTCTCTTCTTTTTCTCTTTTTTTTTCTTCTTTTTTTTTTCGTTTTCTCCTTTCAAACAAATTAATCCACGGAATAAGGAACGACCACGGGGAAAAACCATGGAGAAAGAAAACTCTGCTCATTGATATTCCACGCTCGAATTGAAACTATCCGGGAGAGATCTCGAGTGGACGTATGAGTCGAGTGGCCCTTCGAATCGAATCGAATGGAATCGAATGGAATCGAATCGAATCATCGAAGTGGAAAAGTCTACGGCAACGGCAACGGCAACGGCACGGCACGGCACGGCATGGCATGGCATGGCATGGCACGGCATAGCATAGCGTACAAGGGTTGTCTTCCCTTCTCGTTAATAGATGATCAGAAGCTAAGCCACGGTTGGGAATTGTCAAGGCTCCTATACTCCCTCCCCCCCCGCCCTTGACAGAATCCTAGCTAGGTAGTTATCTGAGAATGTTGGCTGAGGATTTGGAGGCGAAAAAACTAAGAGATTATAAGAAGATAAAGACAAAGGGCCATTGATACTAAGAAAAAGCGAGATAGAGATTCAGAGAGAGAGAGAGAGAGAGAGAAAGAAGAGAATGAAGGGTGAGGATAGAAAGAGAGGATTATAAGAGGACCCAGAATGCACGACAAAAGGACGAGCCAATTCGAATTCCGTTGTGTCCGTTGGATTTACCACTACTACTACTACTACGACTACTACTACTACTACTACTACTATCACCGGCTATCCTAAATATCGGTCCTGTATCCTTGTTACAAAGGATACGCACGCGGTTAGAAATAAGGCGTCCTTCATGAATCGAATTATGTACGTTCGGTTTGGTCGATGGGTCCTCTTCTTTTTCTATCTCTTTTTCTTCTTCTTCTTCTTCTTCTTCGTACTTATTCCTCGTGACTACCTACACCTTGAAAATCGTACCGATGAAATCTCGAACTTTGTTGAAAAAAAAAAAAAAAAAAAGAGAGAAAAAAAGGAAAGGACCAACCAACTCTACTCGGAAAAGAAGATCCAAGTGAATGAGGTCTAACCTCGACCTGATTGTTGTTGCACCGGGCCTAGTAATGGATGCTCATCCATTGAGAGTGAACGTCAAAACGCGTAACATAATATCGGGGCCCTTGCGAGTAAGAGCCCCATACCTAATGGAATTTATTAGAGAAGGGCCTCGTTCTTTTTCTTTTTTCTATTTTTTTTTTCCTCTTTTTTTTTTTTTTTTTTTTTCCCCTTTTTACCATTCTCCTCTATCGAACTTATATTCAGGTACGACGGCGGCCTCTCTGGGCATTTCTTTATTCACCACGTTCACCTCGGCTTTTTCTTTTTTTTATTCCGCGAATTTTTGAAAAATAAAATGGTAATTTGAAAATGTCAGGTAGATTCGAGATCGACTTACTCGTAATCATATATATGTATTTGTGTATGTACGTATGTGTGTGCGTGTTTTTTTTTTTTATTCGTTTCAAAAGATTGCAATTAATCATTCAATAACGAAAATTTTATTCTCTATTTTTCCAATCATTGATCTCTGACCGAGTGAGAGAGGAGGGTGGGAGGGAGGGAGGGGGAAAGGAAAGGAAATTCATGGGGGGGGAAAGGGGAGAAAATTTCCGCTTCGATGGAAAAGTTATAGAAAAGCTTTATGGATATGTATATTTAGATTATATACAGATGTATATGTATATATACATATATGTATATATATATATATATATATATATATATAATATACATTGAAAGAGGTATCGTATCAGCGTTAAAGGCACATATTTTTCATCGATTTCCATTTATATTCGGAGCAACCTTCGACGAGTAACGACGAGTTCTTAAAGTTTCCGCCACGAAGACGTTGAATTCCGTTAAACGGCTTTGAAACAGAATGCGAGGGGGAAGGAAAAAAAAAGGAAAAGAGTGAGAGAGAGAGAGAGAGAAGAAGAAGAAAAAGAAAAAGAAAAAGAGAAAAAAAAACAAGAAAAGTGGAACTGGCATAGGAAAGACGAGGGGAGTAGAAAATAGGAGAAGAAACACGTAGAGGGAACGATTTCG